CAGATTTTCACACACACACACACACACCGAGATATTTATATTATATGTATATTGTATATATATACAAGACTGCATGGGCGCTGCGCGCCATGCACTTGGGTCCTTTAGAGTTTCGCACGTTAGCGGGGTGCGTGCGTGCGTACATGCGCGCACACATGCGCCTATGGAAACCTACTACATATATACATAAACATATATGTATGTATGGGTATGTACATGTACATGCAAAGTGTATGTGTAGCGATGTGTGCGCGTGCACACGCGTATCCCAGGTGGTAGTGGCCTGACCAGCTGCTCTGGGCATCTCGCAACTCAAAGGTGCGAGGGTCTCAGGCGAAAGTGGCCAGACTATCATGGACCCTTCACGTTGAGCAAGCAGTCAGGGAGACATATATGTACATAGTCAAAGAGAGCGATAACGCCTTGTTGCCTTTTTCGTGGTTGTCGATCTGACAATGTCTTCCATTTCCGATCCTTCCTTCCCTCATCCTGCATATCCCGCTCTTTCGCGAGGCCCCCAAGACGGCGCCAAAACGGGCCAAGACGGCCCCAAGACTGCCGAAGAGGCGCCCAGGACAGCTCCAGACCACCCCAGAACAGGCCCAAGATGAGCCCAAGAGCGGGAGCAGGAGGCCACCAGAGACCTCCGAGAGGACTCCGGGACCCCCCAGAGGCTTCCAACGCACCCCAGACCCCCGAGGGCCCCCAAAAAGCGCCGACGAGGCCCCCAAAACAGCCCAAGAGAGCTTCGAGAGCCGTCCGGAGATAGCCCGAAGAGGGTAAAAACGTTGATTATCAGTGATTTTTGTAAATTTGTTCCGCAGACCGAGGAATTTGAAACAATGGATGAATTTCAGAGATATTTTTTGTTTCAGATTCAATGAATGCGCGCCCCCTCCTCCCGGGGGCCCCACCTTCCCGGCACCGCGCTTCCCGACCCCCCGGGAAGCCCCCAAAACGCCCAAGGACAGCCCAAGACGACCCCAAGAAACCCCCGGAACGTTAAAGAAAGGCCCAAGACGCTCCCAAACAACCCAGGATATATTCGGGCGGTTCTCCAGGCTCCCAGGAGGCCTCCAAAAGACTTCAAGTGAGTTCCGAAAAGGCCTCCCGAGAGCGCCCGGGGAACGGAAAATCGTGAATGTTCGTTGTTTTGTTTAATGGTGTTTGGCCTTCTCACTACTTCATGCTTCCAGCGCTTCAAGACGACCGACTGGGCCCCCAAGACCGCCCCGAGACCGCCCAAGAGGTTTCCGAGACGGCGCCAAGGGCTCCCAAAATCTCCCCGACGAGGCCCCCCAAACAGCCCAAGACAGCTTCGAGAGCCGTCCCGAGAGAGCCCGAGGAGGGTAAAATCGCTACTTTCTTGTAGATTGTGTCGACGTTTTTCGCCTTTTCACGTCTTCCTGTTTCCAAAGCTCTCAGACCGAGGAATTGGGAGAAACAAGGAATTCCAGAGATTCCCCGTTTTTTGTTTTCCAAGTTGGGGTTCCCACTCCCTATCCTCTTCCTCGAGCCCCATCAACACTTCGGGGTCGCATGCAAAAGTGTTTCGGGAATGCGGTTGAACTTTCTGACGCTGTTTTGGCACTTTCTTGGATCGTCGTCGTGTCCTCTTGGCTGCCAACAAGAGCCAATGTAGAAATCGAGATCGCATGTTCCCATGAGTTGAAACAGTGGAATTTCAGAACTCCATTTTTCAAACTCGCCCCCTGCTTATTTTTTGCACGGAGACCACGAGAGGCATCCCAACATACCGTGGCCTGCATGCAGAAAACGTCTAACCCACAACCTAGGCACTACAGTTTGAAAAGAGGAAAATCCCACCATTCCGATTTTGTTTTCAAAGTTCGTTTCTGTTTTCTCTTGCACAACAGACCACAATTAAGGCCCCCAAAAAACCCAGGAAGCCTTCGAGTGCCCCAAATCGTTGAATACCTAACGGCAATTGATGATTTTTGCGTTTCCGCAGTTCCCCTTCTCTACGATTCCGAGGCTTGCGCAGGGCCTCCAAGAGAGCCCCTGGATGCAAGAAACGAAAAGGATGATACTCCATGCGTTCGCCCATCAAGCCTAGCTAGAACTTGAGCGCGCGCGAAGCACGCGCGATGGTTCTGATATATATATATATATATATATATATATATAAATGTATGTGTGTGTTCGTATGTGTATATATACACACAAAAGAATGCATCCATACACATATATGTTAGTGTGTGTATATATATATATATATATATATATATAGGCCGGGCACTCTCCCGGGGCGTCCTGCACCTCGATCACATTTGGATTACGCTTCCGGTACCGCGTCCCTGGCCCCCCACATAGGCCCCAAAACGCTGCAGAAGAGCCGCAGACGCCCACGAGCAGCCGCCAGAATCTAAAAGGACGATCCACGACGCTCCCAAGCAACCCAAGATAGCCTTCGGGCGGCTCTCTAGGCTCCCAGGAGGCCTCCAACAGACCTCAAGAGAGCTCCGAGAGGCCTCCCGAGAGCGCCTCGAGAACCTAAAATCGTTGATTGTCATTTGTTTTTGGATTTTTTGGCGATGCTTCCAACGCTCCAAGACGACCGAAGAGGCCCCCAAGACCGCCCCAAGACGGCGGAAGAGGCCAAGAAACCCCCGGAACGTCAAAGAAAGACCCAAGACGCTCCCAAGCAACACAGGATAACTGTCGGGCGGTTCTCCAGGCTCCCAGGGGGCCTCCAAGAGACTTCAAGAGAGTTCCGAGAGGCCTCCCGAGAGCGCCTGGGGAACCTGAAATCGCAAATTTTCGTTATTTTACCAATAGGGTTTCGCAACACTGATTTGCTAAAAAAGCTTACGCGCGAGCTCTTGCGAAATCTTAACAAACACCATAGATTGTTCAAGACTTTCGCAAAATGCTACCAAACGGGCTTCGGGCGCGCGCATGTCGAAATCTGTCGAACGCCCGTGCGCGTGTGCCGTCGCGAGAATCCTCTGCAAAAAAAGGGACGAAATGCAGACGCGCGCGTCGTCGCGCGCGTATGCCGAAATCCTTGAAAACCCTTCGGTTCCAGAAGGATGTCAACAACGTGTGCCCAAAAGACCTAAAAAACACAAGATTTCGCAACACGGATTTTCAACAAAAGCGTGCACGCGCTCTTGCGTCGTCGTCGTCGTCGCCGTCCTCCCTCCTCCCGCGTCGTCGTCGTCGTCGCCTACGTCGTCCTCTGTCTTTCGTCGTGTTCGTCGTCGTCGTCCTCTTTGGCGTCGTGGTCGTTTCCGTCGTCGTTGTCGCCGTGGTCGTCCTTCCTCCTCCTCCCTCGTCGTCGTCGTCGTCCGTCGTCGGCGTCTCGTCGTCGTCCCTCCTATTTCGTCGCCGTCGTCGTCGTCGTCGTTGTCGTCGTCGTCTTCCCTCCTCCCTCGTCGTTGTCGTCGTCGGCGTCGCCGTCCTTCCTCCTTCTTCGTCGTTCGCGTCGTCGCCGTCCTCCCTCCTCCCTCGTCGTTGTCGTCGTTGTCGTCGTTGTCGCCGTCGTCGTCCTCCCTCCTCCCTCGTCGTCGTCTTCGTTGGCGACGTCGTCGTCGTCGTCTCGTCGTCGTCGGCGTCGGCGTCGTCGTCGTCTTCGTCGTCGTCGACGTCGGCGTCGTCGTCGTCGCCGTCGTCGTCGTCGTCGTCGTCGGCGTCGTTGACGTCGTCGTCGTCGGTGTCGTCGTTGTCGTCGTCGTCGGCGTCGCCATCGTCGTCGTCGTTGTCATCGTCGTCGTCGGTGTCGTCGTCGTCGTCGTTGTCGGCGTCGTCGAAGTCGTTGGAGACGTCGTCGGTGTCGTCGTCGTCGTTGCGGGCTCGCGCGGCCACAAAGATGTACCAGCCAACACCCAGCACTCATCGCAATCGTTCCCGCATGGGTTTTGCAAACCAAGTGGCGGGTGGGTGGGTGGGATGATTGCGCGAGCAGTGGAGTTGACAACTTCAAGTTCGGCAAGTGAATTGCACCACATAGTTTGCCCCACAGAGATTGCACCACATATGCAGCACAGCAGATGCTGCCAGAGAAACGGCTCGGGCTCCACGATGGCTGCAAAATTGGGGCATGGGTGCGCCGAGCTGGGCGGGGGGGGGACGCCCTGTGGTCACCCGCTGGGGCCATACGTGGAGCCTTCGAGTGGAGTAGGAGGCGTGTGAAAAAGGTGCGCCGACATGGGCGGGGGGACGCCCTGTGGTCGCCGCGCTGGGGCCATACAGTCGGGGCGCTGAAGAAGGAACCCTTTTCGTTGGGGAGGGCCTCGGTGTTCCTGGAGTGTTTAACAGTCTGCCTCAGGCTTTCCTGAGGTCTTCCATTGGAAATCGAAGTTGAACTTATGGGAAACAGGGGCCTCGTTCCTTATTTAGGGTTCCTTAGGTCAACGCCCCGGCTGTAGGTGGAGCTTCGTAGCGCGTGGGGTGTGTGCGCCGACGGGGGCATGGGGGACGCCATGTGGTGACCCCGCTGGGGCTACAGGCGGGACAGGCGGGGCCTCCTGTGGGGAAAGGCAGTGCACGAAAGGTGCGCTGACATCGGGGGAAGAAAGGGGGTCTCATGCGGTCCCCCCGCTACGGTCGTAGGTGGAGCCCCCGTATGGGGGCGGGAAGCGTGTGAGGAGCGCGCCGAGATCGGAATGGGCGGGGGGACGCTGTTGGTCACCCCGCTGGGGCCACAGGCGGAGCCTCGCATGGCGACACGAAACGTGCGGGGGGGGCGCGGGCAGGAAGAACAGAGGAGGAAAGGAGGAAAAAGGAAGAATTATGAGGAAAAGGTGGGGGTGGAAAAAGAGGGGAGGAGGAGGAGGAAAAGGAGGAGGAGGAGGAGGAAGAGGAGGAGGAGGAGGAGAAGCCGGAGTGAGGTGAGGGCTCGTGGCGTTGCGAATTCAAGACGAGAGCACAAAAACGAGGGTTGGGAACAAGGGAGCGTTGGGAAGCAACACGTAGTAATAGCAACTTCTCCGCCTCCTCGATCATTTTTCTCGTATAGATATCTGTTCCCGGCGAAGGTAATGACATGATGCGAAAGGCTGCCGAGAAGGAGGTGGCACCCTCTGCCTTGAAACGAGCTGTTCTCTTCGAGTGTCGATGCTGCCGCTGATTGGTTGATGGGATCGGGAGCGAAAAGAGGAGGCGGAAATTGAGGAAGAGGAGAAGGAAAAAGGGAGGGAGTATGAATAAGAAGATCAGCAGCAGCAGCAGAAAGAGCAGAAAGCTGAGAGAAGAAGGGCCAGTGGGATCAGGAATGCGAAAAGGACGAGGACGGTGATAAGAACGAGGGCGAAGAGAAGGAGGAGGTGGAGCTTGAGGAGAGGAGGTGGCTTTTCCCGGACATCACTTTATCGGTGCAGGCCGTGCACCATTAACTAATGATTTTCATTGGCAGATCGATTGTATTCAAATCGGAGGTTGTGGGTGAGATCGCAATGAAACAGAGAGTCCCCCACTTGGAAATCAGTTTCGGTTTCGTGTCGCGCGTGCGGGCGAGGCGAAGCTGCGTGGGTGGGCGAGAGGGATGATCCGCCTTGGCTAGGGCGAAACTGGGCTCAATAACTCTACTGCCCCCGGTTGGCCGGCGGTGGCCCAGGGGTGTCCCGCGGGTGTCCCGTGGTGTCCCGTGGTGTCCAGAGGCGTGGTGTCCCGAGGTGTCCCGTGAGATCGGTAGTGAGATCGACGGTGGGGTCGATCGATATTGATCTCGATAGATTGGGGGAAAACGATAGTGGAATCGATTGTCTTTTTTGGTTGTTGCCCCTTGTGTCATGGTGGGGGTTCCCATTGTGCCGTGGTCGTGATACCCCTCATGTCGCCACATGCCTCCGCTCGAAAGCCGCCAGGCACTCAAAATTATCGTATGTCTTCGTGTATGGGAGGCACGGACGAGGCCCGGAGGCGCGCTTACTGACTTGGTCCAGAAATCGAGGATTGAGAGAGACTTCGGCAGGGTCGCGGACGACGCGCACGCGGCGCATTTGATTCAAGCAGCTGATCTATGTGCCATAGATCCTTCTGTGTCGAGCCCCACGGAACGGGCCCCAAGGAGGGATCGACATACGGCCCCTGTTGCATTCTCATGGCGCCACCCCCCCTCCGCCCATGTCGACACACCTTTCGCACCGATCCTGCCCCCGGTTCCACATTACGGCCCTAGCTGGAGCGTTCGCTCAGTCCCCCCTCCCGCCCACTGAGCACACCCTTCACACGGACCGTGCCCCACAGGGAGATCAGGCCACGGCATCATTGGGAGCGTTGGCAGAGTGTTCCCCGCCCACGGCTCGTGCCCCATAGGGAGCTCCACGCATGCCCAAAGTGCACAAGTTCGCATCGCGTCCCCCATCCCATGTCGGCACCCTTCGTGTGGATCGCGCCCCGTGGGGGAGCTCTTCTTGCAGCCCGAGTGGGAGCGTTCGCACTGTGTCTCCCGCCCATTTCGGCACAGCCGTCACACGGGTCAGGCCTCACAGGGAGTTCCAACTCCGGGTCCAGGGAGGACGTTCGCGTGATAGCTTGCACCCGTTGCTGGGCACCCCTCGTGCGGATGGTGCCCGCTGCGGAGCCTCTCTCGGGGCCTCAGGGGGCGGACCCGCAGACGGGCACAGGCTCAAGTCGCCGTGCGGTCACGCGAGCCGTGCCTCCAGAGGGAGATTCGCTTGCGGCCCCAGCAGGGGTGCTCGCGTGCGGGGCCCGCCCATCGTGGCGCGCCTCGCGCACACATCGCGCCCTCGGATAATCTCCGCTTGCGGCTCCAGATGGCGCGCTTGCATGAGGTCCTCGGCCCCCTTCCGACACAGTGCCCCATGGAGAGCTCCACCTACGGCCCCAGCGGGTGTCTTCCCGTGAAGTCCCCAGCCCAGTTTGGGACACCCCTCAAGTAGCTCGTGCCCCGCAAGCAGCTCCACGGATGGGAATCATCAATGGGAATCCTCCTGTGTGGTTCCCAGAACACGTCGGCCCACCTCTCACACGGACCGCGCCTCATGTGGAATTCAGCGCGCGTCTGCGCGCCTTCTCCGCAACCCGCTATCCGCACTGCCCCGATCTCTATCCCTCCCGCCGCGCGCAGTGTGTGAGGCGAGGACCACGGCCTGCGGCACACGCCTCCGCACACGCATGGGCATGTCGCCAGGCTGATTCTGCGGTGGCGATCTGTTGATGTGCACGTCGTGTCGCCCATAGAACCCTCCGCGGACACACTCTCCTCCTCCCCCCCCTTCCCCGCCCTCACTACGCCAGCAAGGTTGAAATCCTCAACCGATTGGCCCAGGCGGACAAGGGCAACAAGAAGCACGTGGACGCCCCAGCCAGACCCATCGCTGCCTCCGTAGAAGAGAAGGGGGAGGAGGAGGAGGAGGAGGAGGAGGAGGAGGAGGAGGAGGAGGAGGAGGAGGAGGAGGAGGAGGAGGGGGAGGAGGAGGAGGGGAGGGGGAGGGGGAGGAGGAGGAGGAGAGGAGGAGGAGGAGGAAGGAGGAGGAGGGAGGAGGAGGAGGAGGAGGAGAGGAGGAGGAGGAGGAGGAGGAGGAGACGAGGAGGAGGAGGGAGGAGGGAGGAGAGGAAGGGGTGGAGGAGGAGGAGCAGGAGGAGGAGGAGGAGGAGGGAGGAGGAGGAGGAGGAGAGGGAAGAGGGAGAGGGGCGCTGCTTACCCCGCCTCGCCTGGGCTGGCCGCGGGCGCGGCGCGGCTGCGGACGCCGCTTCGTGGTCCAGTCCAAGGGGGGGCGGGGGGGGAAGGGGAGGGAAGAGGGGGAGAGAGCGGGAGGAGCAGGAAAGGGCGGGAGGAGTGGGAAGAGGGAGAGGAGACGGGGCCCAGCAGGTGGCTCGATCCCATCGCCGCAGTTGTCTTCGTCGGTCCCCCCTGATGCTCGCAGGTGTCCTGCATGGTGAGCGCTCATCGGCCTTCCCACATCGATCCTACTGAGCCTCCTCACCGTGTTGGTGCCTGCATTGCACAAGCAACAGTGTACGAGTATACGTCCTCCTGGCCTCTGCCCCACCGCTCCCTCCCCCCATCATCTTTCGCCTCGGCCCATTACTCCTCTGCCTCCTGACCTCCTCCTCCTCCTCCTCCTCCTCCTCCTCCTCCTCCTCCTCCTCCTCCTCCTCCTCCCTCCTCCTCCTCCTCCTCCTCCTCCTCCTCCTCCTTCCTCCTCCTCTCCTCCTCCTCCTCCTCCTCCCCCTCCTCCTCCTCCTCCTCCCCCTCCTCCTCCCCCCTCCTCCCTCCTCCTCCTCCTCCTCCTCCTCCTCCTCCTCCTCCCTCCTCCTCCTCCTCCTCCTCCTCCTCCTCCTCCTCCTCCTTGCGCAGGGAGTGGGCGTGGTCCAGAGCGGCCGGCGCCCGGCGTGGGAATGGGGCGCCCACGCGGCGGGGGGCGCCGTTTTCTGAGCTTCGATGTCCGCGTGGCCGGCGCGGGAAGACGGGCACGAGCTGCGGAGGCCCAGTCCCGCGCTGGCACTTCACGTCTGATGCGTACCCCACAGACACCTGCACGCCCGAAATGGACACGGAAAGGATGGGTACAATGCCCAGCACCGGATCCTGTTCGTTTTGAAGAGGACTCGCTGTCCACGCCGCCGCGGCCTGTGTCCATTTGAGACAGGGCCGACGCGTTTGATGCGTACCCTACAGACAGGTCCTCCGTGTCCACGTCTGATGCGTACCCTACAGACAGCCAGGCAAGTTTCGGGGGTGGACAGACCTCCTACCCTGACACGTCGATTGGCGAATTGGCCGTCTTCGGTTCGCGAGAGGGCGTCGCGGCCGTCATTTTTGAGGGTCCATGTCCGTCGGTTTCGGTCCCAGGCCGTTTTCACTAAAGGGAGGTTTACTAAAGGGAGGTTTGTCCACCGCCCCAAGTTGGTACGATTTGAGAAATCGGCCCGAAACCTTGAATCGCACAGAGTTCCACGGACCCGGCGAGCTCGGGTGAGCGAGGCCCTCTTCGTGGCCGCCCGCGGGGGGTCGCGGGCGTGCCGGACGTGCCAGCAGGGTCCCACAAATCGTACCAACCTTATCGGACTGTCTGTAATGAGGTTGTCGCCACGGGGGGGGGGGGGGGGGCCACAGCGCCGCCCCCCAGATGGTCGCAGTGCATCTTCGCGGCGTGGGGAAGTGCTGGCGCGAGCACTGGCCTGCACGACACCGTCGGTGGCGTACACCCCTAGGGCCAGCCGTCAGCACGTTTGCGGCTGCGCAGGTGCTGGGGAATCCTCTTTCCCCTCCTCCTCCAGTATCCTCTACATTCCTCCATGTGCTCATCCCCCTGCTCCTCCCCTCTCTTTGCCCCCCGCGCTTGCGCGGTTCCGACTGTTGTCGCTCGTGCGGCTTCTCCCTCCCACAGCTTGAGGTTTCAAATGGCTTCGAGCCCGTGGTGAAGGGTCACCGGTGCCACTGCTGCTGAATGGAGTGCTCACCTGCGTGGCTGTTCATGGAGCTGGGGCTCTCTTGCGCTGAAAGAAGAAGAAGAAGAAGAAAAACAAATCCTCCATGTGCTCCTCTTCGGTCCTCCTTCACGATCTCCCGAACTCCCTCTGTGGCGTGCTGCGTCCGACGGGGCCGGCCTCGAGCAGCGGGGGCCGCGGGCCAGGTGATCCGCCTCCTCGCCACCTTCGACTACAGAGACCACTACTGCCTGGTCGAGGGGGAGGGCTGCCACGCGACTGCTGCTGATGCCAGTGGTGATGCTGCCGGCGATGTTGCGGCCGTTCCTCCTCCTCCTCCTCCTCCTCCTCCTGCTCCTCCTGCTGCCCCTCCTCCTGCTGCTGGAGAGGCACTCGTACACTTCGAGGGCCCATGGGCGGACCTGACACCGAGGATCAGCTCCAGGTCCCACCGCGTTGGCTTGCCGCGGTGTTGAAGGGGCCCCAGTCTCAAACAAGAGACCACGTTGTCCAGTCGGGGTTCGGATAGAACCTATTTATGAGTTGCTGTCCATCGTACCCTTCATCTTCTCTTCGTAATTCGCATCCTCTTCTTCATTATGCTATGTTTGCTCTTCGCCCCTATCGCTTGTAATCCAGAAGCCGCATTAAAGTGATCATTTCCCCCCTCTGTGACAGAGGGGGTGTTTTTCGGACCCCCTCTGTGACAGAGGGGGTGCGTTCGGAGGCCCTCTGTGACAGAGGGGGTGCGTTCGGAGGCTCTCTGCGACAGAGTTGCTCGTCATCCCGTTCCTCCTCATCCTGCTTTTTGATTTCGGATATGTCATGCTACCACTGCGCTCATCATCTTTGCGTCTGTGATCCTCGTCGTGTTGTTCCATGCGTCCTTTTCAATTTCCACCACATTATCCTCCGTTGCCGTTCTGGCCCGCCATCTACCTCGTCACTCTCCTTCGTCTGCATGTCCTTATTCTTTTCCGCTCTTTTTTCGCCTCCCTCTGGTTCGATTTCCGCTCTTCGTCCACTTCGTTCATTCGTTTCCAACCCCCCTTCCTTTCAAGTTCTCCGCCGTCCAATCACGTCGCGTCGTCCGCCGCCGCTATGCTCAAACCACCCCGCGCCCGTGGGATCGCCCGCGAGCACCGGTGCAGCTGGGCCCGTCGCGGCCTAACGCGCGCCTGCGCCATCGTCTTGCAATGGGCGATGCAGGCGGATACACATGGGATGGCGCGGGAGGATGGTGGGATAGCCGCAGCAGCGGCTGGCGTGGCTGGGAGGACGGCCATGATTGGTCAGCGAGGGGTTGGAGAGACTGGCGACAAGACGGGCACACGCCAACGGAGGACGCCAAATGGCGCGATGGCCCTGCCGCCGCAGCAGCGGCGGCGGTCTCGTCTCAACGGCCGTCTCGCTTCGCCGCGCTTAGCGTTGTGAGCCCCCGCGCCCCTGGTCTCGGCAAGCCCGAATTCGATAATTTCGTGAGGGCTGCCCTCCGAAACGTACCAGAACTTGGGAACACAGTTTCAGGAGAGGGGTCGGGATCCCGAGCCGCGCCTGCGGCGCAGGAGCCCCGCGCCACCGCAGCGGCGGCGGCGCGCGGGCCCCAGGATTTTGAGAAGTTTGATGTTAATTATTTTTTGAGTTATGAAGAGAGGCTCGGCACTTCGTTTAAGCAACACAATCAAGCGTTGAAATGGTGGCGCCATCTGAATGAAGACCCAACTGCCCCGTTCGAGTCAGAAGCCAAGTGGTTTGACAATGCGAAGCCCACCATGGTCGCTGTTTGCGACCACGGTGCGAGGACGAGCTTTGGTTTCAAAAGCGACGAGGAAGTCCCTTGGCGGTGGCAAGAGATGGTGGCGACGCTCAGGGAGGAAGATATCAGGGAGGTCGTGGAGGGGCCCCGCAGCAGCGGGGCTCTGATCGGCTGTTCCCTCGAAGTCCGGCCAAACAGCTACGACCACATGCGTCAGAGTATTGTGCGCGCGCGACAGTTCGCGGGGCAGCGGGTGAAAGTGAAGCTGCCGATGTGGGATTTCGTGTTGCACCGCGACGACGGGACAGGCGTCCGTTTACACCCGCACTGGGGCGACAGGAAGGTCGAAGCTCTGCCCCTCGTCCCCCACGCGGACACGGTGAGGCCACCAACCGCGGGTTTGGGCGGGAGCGACGGGTCAGGAACTTCTCGCTGGCACAAGGACCTCGGTGTGGAGCGTAAGGTCAAGTTCGACGCCGCCAGAGAGAAGGGGAGGCCGACGCCCTCTCAGGGGCCCCGCAGCAGCGGGGCCGCGGCGTCCAGCACCAGGCCCTCGGCGTCCGCAGCAGCGGGTGGCAAACAGTAGTTTTGGGACCGAATAACTCCCCAGACGATTTGGTTTCGGAGTAGATGGCTCCGCAGCAGCAGCGGGGCTCGAATGAAGGGCGCGTTGCATTTCTGCAGGGGCGCGCGCGTCGGCCGCCGAGATCGGGGGCGCTCGTGCAGGCGCCGTGGCGCGATCTTCGTAAAGAAGTCTTCCCTCTCCTCCCTGTCCCCCCATCCCGCCGCCCTCAACGTCGGCTCCTCGCCGCCCGTTCCTCGTCGCTCCACGCCTGTTCGTTCTCCTCCAATTTCCTCTCCCGCTTCCTCGTTCTCTCCTTCCCATTTTTCCCTCCATCCCATTGCATCCCTGGCACCCCAGCGAAGTTCGCAGTTTGAAGTTTGAAGTTCGGAGCTCGAAGGTTGCAGTTTGAATTTCGAAGCTTCGCACTTCGAGGTTCGATCTTCGAACCTTCGTCATCTCGTCGTCGTAATCGTCGTCCTCGTTCGTCGTCGTCGTTCCTCGTCGGCGTCGATTGTCGTTGTCGTCGTCGCTCGTTGTCGTCGTCGCCGTCGTCGTCGTGGTCGGCGTCGTCGTCGTCGGTCGTTGTCGTCGCTAGTCGTCGTCGCTGGTCGCCGTCGTGGTCATCGTCCTCGTCGTCGTCGTGGTCGTCGTCGCCCTCGTTGTCGCCGTCGTGGTCATCGTCGTCGTCGTTGTCGTGAAACGCCCCACGTAGGAGGAGCAGAGAAGGGAGTAAGGAGAAATGAGCACGGTGGAGGGAGGAGGGAGGATTGAACAGGAAGAGGAGGGTACATATGGAGGTAGAAGGGATGAGGTAGTTCAGAAGTGGGAGCAGCAGACTGGCGCAATGGGAAAAGCCATGTGAGTGCAGGGAGGGATGGAAATGCGATAAAGTGAAGCCGCAGCCGCTGCAGGTCTGCCTCCCGCCGCGCCCGCCCGCCTCCGCGACTGGAGCCGCGCAGGAGCCTCTACCGAAGTCTCCGCAGCAGCGGGGACTGCCAGAGGAGGCTCCTTCGCGGTTTTTGCGCCGCTATGGCGAGCATCGCGGGCAAGTACGACGCCGATGACTTCGAGCTCATCACGACGGAGGGCAGTGTTTGGCACTGGGCGACCATGGTGGTGCGGTTTCTCCAGTGGCGCAATCGTTGCCGCCATGCACGCGCCGTTGGAGTGAAGGGCCAGATGCTCGTCGACCAGGCGCGGCAGATGATGGAGGAGGCGCGCCGCACCGAGGAGATGGGCAAGATGATGCTTGAGATGTCGAAGAAGAAGGTGAAGGACATCCCAGGCAATATTCGGTACTTTTGCCGCCAGCCGCACCAGGAGAGCTGAGCGGCGATCGGAGCTGGGCCGATAGAGGAGGACGAGGAGGAAGAGGAGGGGGGATGAGGAGAGGAGGAGGAGGGGGATGAGGAGTTGGAGGCAGCACGCGCACCCGCACTAAGAGCCGCCAGCCGCGCCCGTCTCCGAGCATGAAACCCGAGCCTGGCTGGAAGGGGGGAGGGCGGTAGCAGAAACAGCGCAGGACAGGGATGGGGGAGGTCACGCATCCGCCGCATTAGCGGCGGTGGTACGACAGTTCTCATGGCGGCGCGGCGGTCGCTGAGAAATGGAGCACGTGCGTGGGCCTGCGTGCGCTTAATTATGAGTGGCTCTCGTCCCCTCCCCTCCTCTTCCTCCATGAGATCTCTCTCCTGGTGCATATCCCCTGCCAGTGCTCGTCCTGCTCCTCTATCCGCCCCCCCTCGTCCGTTCCTGCCACCAGCCACATGGGGCGTTCTCAATCAACACCCCATTGAGTGTCCCCATGTGAAGGTTGCCCTTTGTCATGAGGGCGGACTCGCAAGAGCCGAGTGGCTGAAGAACTAATTAGTAGTTTGGGGTCCGAACAGCTCCCCAGACGATTTGGTTGTGGAGTAGGTGGCTCCGCAGCAGCGGGGCTCGAATTAAGGGCGCGTTGCATTTCTGCAGGGGCGCGCGCGTCGGCCGCCGAGATCGGGAGCGCGCGCGCAGGCGCCGTGGCGCGATTTTCGTTTTGAAGTCTCCCCTCTCCTCCCTGTCCCCCCATCCCGCCGCCCTCAACGTCGGCTCCTCGCCGCCCGTTCCTCGTCGCTCCACGCCTGTTCGTTCTCCTCCAACTTCCTCTCCCGCTTCCTCGCTTTTCCTTCCCATTTTCCCTCCATCCCAGTCCATCCCTGGCACCCCAGCGACGTTCGCAGTTAGAAGCTGGAAGTTCGGAGTTCGAAGATCGAAGTTTGAATTTCGAAGCTTCGCACTTCGAGGTTCGATCTTCGATCCTTCGTCATCTCGTCGTCGTAATCGTCGTCCTCGTTCGTCGTCGTCGTTCCTCGTCGGCGTCGGTTGTCGTCGTCGTCGTCGCTCGTTGTCGTCCTCGCCGTCGTCGTCGTGGTCGGCGTCGTCGTCGTCGATCGTCGTCGTCGCTAGTCGTCGTCGCTGGTAGCCGTCGTGGTCATCGTCCTCGTCGTCGTCGTCGTGGTCGTCGTTGCCCTCGTTGTCGCCGTCGTGGTCATCGTTCTCGTCGGCGTCGTCGTCGTCGTTGTCGTGAAACGCCCCACGTAGGAGGAGCAGAGAAGGGAGCAAGGATAAATGAGCGCGGTGGAGGGAGGAGGGAGGACTGAACAGGAAGAGGAGGGAGCAGGCAGAGGTAGAAGGGATGAGGTAGTTCAGAAGTGGGAGCAGCAGAGTGGCGCAAGGGGAAAAGTCATTTGAGCGCAGGGAGGGATGGCATTGCGATAAAGTGAATCCGCAGCCGTTGCAGGTCTGCCCCCCGCCGCGCCCGCCCGCCCCCGCGACGGGAGCGGCCCAGGGCATGGAGCAGCCTGGCGCGACTGGAGCCGCGCAGGAACCTCTGCCGAAGTCTCCGCAGCAGCGGGGGCTGCCAGAGGAGGCCCCTGATGCAGTTCCGCATGGAATGG